CGTGCACCCCGACGGCGTCTGCGTCAGCCTTCGCATCCTGGCGTTTCAACACACATGTAGACGCCGTGCAGAGGCTAAAAATTCACCAGGAAGCTGGACCTCCGAGGTACGCTGCCTCGCGCAGCGTGCGCGTCCTCGGGCTGCGGCGGGCACTGCCGCAGCGCCGGCCCCCCGCAGCATGCTACAGCTTGGGTCCAACCTGGCCCTGGAGCGCGCGCGCGAGTAAACAGGGCCGAGCACGCGTTGCGGAGAGTAAGGGAGGATGCAAATGACGCCGCCGGCCTGTGTGAGAGCTGGATGCACAAGTGGCCAGATGGCATTCTGGCTTTCGGCGCTGGGATTCTAAACGTGCATCCAGCGCGCGGGCTCCAGATCTTCCACACGAATCCACCCTCATGTGTGTTTCCAGCTTCCTGGTAGGGGTTCTGCATCTCTTGGGCCTCAGTAGGGCTCCTCGTGGCCACGGCCAGACGCGGCTCGAACAAGTGGCCATTGCAGTGTCCGGGAGGGGTCCAGGGACGTGGCGACGAGGACGACGACGAACACGACGATGATGATGATGATGATGATGATGATGATGATGATGATGGTGATGATGATGATGATGATGATGATGATGATGATGATGATGATGATGATGATGATGATGATGATGATGATGCTGCTGATGCTGATGCTGATGCTGATGCTGATGCTGATGCTGATGATGATAATGATGGTGATGGTGATGGTGATGCTGATGGTGATGATGATGATGACGACGACGACGACGATGCCGGCAACGTCCACGCTCACGACCACGACCACGACCACGACCACGACCACGATCGCGACCACGACCACGACCACGACGGCGAAGGCGACGGCGACGGCGACAGCGACGACGGCGACGGTGACAGCGACGACGAAGGCGAAGACGACGACGGCGACATGGACGACGACGGCGACGACAACGGCGGCAGCGGCGGCCGTGGCGACGACGGCCAGAACAAGACGCATTCGGCCGCCGGCCCAAAAGGCTGGCCTGCACACCGGCTTCCCGCACCCCTCCGACCTGTACGAGCTTATCACGTCGAAGACGTGGATGGCCAGCCGCCTCCAGCCCACGCGCGCGGCGGCCACCGTCGGTTTGTGACAGCCCCCCGCCGTCGCACGGCCCGCCGCTAGGACGACGCCGCTTGCGACGACGACGAGCTCATCACTTCGAAGACGTGGATGGCCCGCCGCTGGGCCCACGACGACGACGACGACGACGACCTCTCCTCCGTCCTGATCGTCCTCTTTGGTCCTTTTTATCATCATCATTATCCTCCGTCTCTCCTACTCATTTTCCTCCTCTTCCCTCCTCCTCCAATTCCTCGTCATCCTCCTCCTCTTCCTCCTCCACCCCCTTGTCTACCTCCTCCTCCTCCTCCTCCTTGTCCTCCTCCTCCTCCTCCTCCTCCTTCTCCTCCTCCTCCTCCTCTTCCTCCTAATCCTCCTCCTCCTCCTCCTCCTCCTCCTCCTTCTCTTCCTCCTCTTCCCCCTCTCCTCTTCCCCCTCATTGCGTTGCCAGTTGGCTCAAGATTGGGGCAGGCCCTTTTTGAAGTGAGACAGCCTTCCGCAGAAGGCTATCCAGTTTTTGACCGCTGGCGGACACCTTTCTTCCCCAGGCAGTCTCGCGGCATGGCTGCGACGAAGGAGTAGATTGAAAAAAGTGTGAAAGGGATGCTCGAAAAGATGGGGGATATTGGGAGTGAGATGGCAGCCCTGCGCAAATCGATCGCTGCCACGGACAACAAAATGGATTCGGTTGCGGCAAGGGTCGCGACACTGGAGTCTATTGCAGCAGCCTCAGCTGGCGCAGCCCAGGAGACGATCATGGCGAAGATCGACGCGAGGCTCGCGCAGTTCGAGAACGATCCTGATTATACAAATGCTGGTGTTTCGTCGGCATGGAATTCGTCGGCTACATCACGAGGTGGATCCAGGAAACGTCAAATGTTCACTGCAGGGTTAGGCTACACTGGCCAGACTCGAGCTGCTTCCCTTACGAACGAGGATCAATATAGTGGAAAGACCAAGTCTTGGATCAGCGGGCTCCCTCGCAAGATGCTGACCACAATTCTGACGGCACAGTGGGAGACCATCCAAGCCATTGCAGCAAGCGGAACGTCGTTCCCACCAGTGCCCTAGATCTACGCCCTGTCGACCTCCTACTCCACCAAATTTGCGAATGAAGATGAGTGTAAGGCTTTCATGCTTCTCTTTGTGTAAAGTCCTGCGGATTGCTGAGAGCTGCTCAACCTCGTGCTTGTGGCCGAAGCCCGCCAGATCGTTGCGAAGCCCGTGAAAGACAATTTTGAGCAGTGGTTCGATGAGAAGACCTGCCAGATATCACCGACACAGCAACGCAGCGCAACGAAGCTGAGAACGGCATGTGCGCACAGCGAAATGAGCCAAAGCCGTGCTGCCACATTCCCGTTTTGTCCTCCACCTCTTCCTCCAGCAGTTCTGATAGCGGCGCCTCCTCTAGTGATGATAGAGAGAATCGTTTCAACCGGAGTCTGGCCGGGTACGCAGGAACGTTTCAAGCACGTGCGCACGCAAGTATATGGTTGTCGCTCAGGACTTTCCGTTTTCTCCTCTCTCGGTTTTTCCTTTGATTTCTTGAAACATCGCCGCGTTATTCGCCAGCATCCATTCCGACCGTCTCGCCAGCAAGAAGAAGCAGCCAAAACTCACGCAATTCACATTCAAGTACCACATCATCCCTTGCAAGAGATGCATGAGGCCAGAGGAGATCTGGAGAACCTTCGTCGCGAAGTTCCCAAGTATCAGGTCTTTGGGACTTTCTGTGCCACGCCTTTTGCGGGTAGGGTTGTTATCATGATCTCTGAGGCCTTCCTGAAGGATTTCCGTCGGGTTCTGGAGATCCCCACGGTTGCTGGGAGGGCTCTTCAGGTGCTCCTTCGGGGCCTTCGAGGTCGCCTCCAAACTCGTGAGGTTAATATTGATCCAGCTCTGTCGGCCAATAGCAAGAAGCCTTTTTTTTCTCCAAATAGACTTGCCCGAAAGGACTCCCAGCTCAAATCCTACTAATCGGTCCGTTCCCCCCCCCCCCTCCCCTCCAATTCCGATGCCCCCCCACCCCCTAATTCTTATGGCTATGCCTATGCCTATGCCTACCCCCCCCCTGTTTCCAATGGCACCCCCCTCATGTATGCTTGTTTGCTTGCTTGCTTGGGCACTTGCTTGCTTGCTTGCTTGCGCGCTTGCACGCCTGCTTGCTTACTTGCTTGCTTGTTTGCTTGCTTACGCGCTTGCTTGCACGCTTGCTTGTTTGCTTGCTTGCTGAGTTGTGGATTCCAAGCACGCTCGATTCCTATGATTCCTTGATTCGAGTCGTCTAATATATTTGGAGTCAACGCTGGCTGCTATGTTCGACACGATCTATATGAATATGTGTATACACATGTCTATATATATGTGTTTATACACGCATGCAGTGCCTGCCAGGAACGCGCTCCGTACTCCTGCGGGCGATTTCAAGTTCTACGCTGACGGGGGGCAGCGAGAGTACCTCTCGGGTACCATTCTGCATGCTGCGCAGGAGTCTTCCCCGCATGGGGTGCGAGCTCACTCTGATCAGGTCGTTGGGGGATGGGTTGAGGTATATCAGACTGAACATACACAGCAGAAGGTGATTTGACGGGGGCTATTGAATCCGTTGCTAGACCTGGTTGGATTTATCTGAACGCACCTACCTCTCCTTTACTTGACCCGAGGAGTTCTATTGTCCGCCTATGCTCTTCCTGCTGCCAGCAATCATGTGCCTGTCTTTCTTTGGCCTCATCTTGCGCCTGGGCCTTTTTCCCTCCTCTTCGTCCCTCCTGGCTATCCAAGCACCCCGCCCGCGCCAAACATCTTGTCTCTCTCATGACTGGCACGCACTTCTGCAACAATCCGATCGCAGCGCTGCAGGAGCTTAAAGAGAGCGCGCATATCGCCAAGAGTCGCACTTCGAGGGGATTGGAGGGAGTCGGGCCGTCGAGCGCCATTCGAAAGACGTCGTGGATGCTCGCTGCGGGTCGGACGGCGCGTTTTTAGCGAGGCTCTGTTCTTCGCCATGCCTGCAGCGCTTTTCCCAGGCTCTGCGAGTCTTGTTCGTCGACGCCTGCGCCATGATAGACCGCGACGCCGACCAACTCTGCCGGACTGGGCTTCATTACGGATATCTCAGCAAGCCTCTGGAGGAGAGTCAGAGGAGCGAGAAGTCCCCCCACAAGAATCTGCCCGGGCTGCCGCTTTGCAGCTGATCCAGGCCGCCTGGCCCCTTCGTCTTCGGAAGCTCACGTTAGCCGCTGTTCTGGGCCCTGGAAGGAACCTCGCTGAGGACCCCGACACCGCCTCTGTCCTTCTTCAGGCGCACTGGTCTTCTGAGTTTGCTGCTAAGACTGTTGACGGCACCGCCATTCACGAGTACCTCCCCCATGTCCAAAAAAAAACAGATGTCCTCACCTACTTCCAGTTTCACGAGCTTGTCCAGGACCTCTCCGACTCCCCCGCCGGGACCCGACGGTTTGCCGTATTCAGCGTGGCAGTTGCTCGACAATAGTGCGCGCACGTTGTACGATTTGTACTTGCAGTTCCTGCGCGCTCAGGAGCTCCGCGAGGATTTCGATGCAGCGTTTGGGGTCTTTCTGCCTAACTGGCATCAAGCTGGGGATGATGCCATCGTCAAACGAGAAGCCTGGGCCCACGAGGCCCATCTCTCTAAGCAAGTCAGACAACAAAATCGTCTCCGAGGTCATCATTTTTTCTTCGGGACACCGTCGCAGTCACCGCGCATACCCAGCAACGAGGATTTGTGCCAGGTAGGCAACTTGCCAACAATCTATTGGAGATGGAGGCCAACGGTCTTGTGCGGGGCAGCATCGAAGGCAAATATATTGCAAGAGATGCGATGTTCGACATCGCCAGCGCCTTCCCTTCGATGTCCCTCCTTATCCTGTTTGCTATCCGAGCGGCGATGGAATTGCCTGGACCCATCACTGCGACGCCGCGTGCCCTGCACAGCGATATGCGCATGACGATCGCTTCTTAGGGGCAAGAGGTCCGGTATGATACAATGTTTGCGAGGTGTGAAACAAGGGTTTGTGTTTTTGCGGGCGATGTGGGTGCCGTCGATAGGAATGATTCAGGATCTCCCCAGCACGATTCACTAACGTGTGATCGCTGGTAAAGCCGCCAGTCTGTCCATCAATATTGGCAAGACCGCCCTGGCGCTCTTCGGGACAAGGGATCAAGTTCACAAAATTGTTGGTTCTCTCCGCTGGGCGTTACTTGCGGTTTTTCCTTTGGAGCCAGGGGCCTGCTGTCTCTTGGGACCACCCGCCCAACAACTTCCTTGGGCGTATTCGGCACGCTAAAGCAATCTCCTGGCGCTTCAGACCTCGATGCTTGCGGGGCAGCGTCTTCCTCCGTCCGCTTTTGTCTTCCGTGCGGTACGAGAGGCACATATAGTTGCAAAATGTCGCAAAGGATTCATTGATGGAGGGCGGGTGGTTTTCAAAATGTGTTTCTCGCCCCAACGCCGCGCACATTTGTCTCACAAGTTTGCAAGAGCTTCACGGATGATGGGCGGTGGTTTTCCAGATGTGGTTCTCGGCTTAGCGCCGCGCACATTCGTCTTCAAAGTTGCAAGAGCTTCATGGATAGAGGGCGGGTAACTTTCAAAGTGTGGTTCTCGCAGTGGCGCCGCGCACATTCATTTTAAAAGTTTGCAACTCGGTTGAACGGCGGCTCCTTCTCAAAATGTGGTTATCGCTCTAGCGCCAGGCAAATTCATCTCCGAAGATAGCAAGAGTTTTAGGATGTAGGGTGGGCAATTTACAAAATGTGGTTTTCGCTTTCGCGCTGCGCACATTCGTATTGAAGGTTTGCAAGATCTTTACGGTTGGATAGCGGTTCGTTTGAAAAATGTGGCCCTCGCGCTAGCGCCGCGCACATTCGTCTCCAAAATTGTGCATGAGGTTCACGTGGTTTTCAAAATGTGGTCTTTGCCTTCGCGCAGAGCACATTCGTTCTCAAAGTGTGCAAGAGCTTCACGGATGGAGGGCCGGTGGTTTTCAACATGTGGTTTTCTGATCAGCGTTGCGAGCATTTACTTTCAAAGTTTAAAACAGTTTAACTTTGGTGGACATTCCAAGAATTGTGTTCCGGCACCAAACAGATTTCTCAGGGCGCGACAGTCACGTTGATTCGCGGTGTTGAAATCCCAAGAACAGCTTTCTTGCACGAGGCAGGGTCGTCAGGACGCAACGGTAAAGTTGATTCGCGGCGCTGACGTCAAAGGAGGGGCGGTTCGGCGCGATTGACGATTCTCAGACGGTTGTCTTCCAACGGGGCATTTCCAGCAGTGACAACATGTTTGTTGCAAGGACCTATGAAGGGGGAAATTGGAGGGAGGGTTTATCGATACATCGTTGATGCGCCTCGGGCTTACTAGTCCTCCCCCTCCTCCTCCTCCTCCCCCTCCTCCGCCTCATCCCCCTCCTCCCCCTCCTCCTTCTCCTCCTCCCCCTCCTCCCCCTCCTCCCCCTTCTCCCCCTCCTCCCCCTCCTCCTCCTCCTCCTTCCCCTCCTCCTCCTCCTCCTCCTCCTCCTCCTCCTCCTCCTCCTCCTCCTCTTCCTCCTCCTCCTCGGCCAACCTACAAGCGAGGCTCAGGAATGAGCGTGTTGGTTCTCAGCCCTTCACTGCCAACAGGAGGTCTTACCTGGAGAGTCCTATCGAGGAATTGCTCCTAAAACGTTGAGTGCTGCCGAACGGTCACCACGTTAGCAAACCCAAGGGTAGTTCCTTCACTTGCAGTTTCATCGTCATGTAGTTGTTCCCACTCCTCCTCCTCCTCTTCCTCCTCCACCTCCTCCACCTCCTCCTCCTCCTTCTTCTCCTCCTCCTCATCCTCCTCCTCCTCCTCCCCAACGCCTCCCGGCGGCGACGACGATAACAGCCGCGCCGCCGCCGACGAGGCGTCGTTGTGCACCCAGCCCTCGGCACGCCTGCCGGCCGCGACGCTCGTCGGTCGCCCCGCCCCGCCTTCCTTGCGGGGGAGGGCGCCGCCAGGACGGACAAATCGGCGGCGACGACAGCGAGGGCGGATCGAGGATCGAGGAGGACCGAGGATCTAGGAGGAGGAAAAGTAGGAGGAGGAGGAGGAGGAGGAGGAGGATCGCGCTCCGCGACGCGCGATCCGCGGTTACCTTGGCGCCTAACGGGCGGGTCCTCGGCAGAAGAACAGCGCTCACGCCAGGCCCAGACCGCGGGGCGCGGATCGCGGAGCGAGGACCGTCGACGGAGGGCCGAGGATCGAGGATCGCTTGGGTTCGAGCGGGCGTCGGCCAGAGCGGCGCGAAGCTGCTCGGGGGGAGAGGGGGACGCTTCCCCCTCCGGGCGGGGCGCTCCACGCCCATCTCTGGGGGGGGGGATCCGCTCGGCTAGCCTCGGCCTCCCTCGGGCAGGACCAGCGGTCGGAGGCCCGGGACCTCTCAGGACGGCATCGCGGCTCTCCTCCGAGAACGACGGCGTTGGCCACGGCGACGACGGCGACGGCGGGTCTCCAGCGTCCATCGAACGCTACAAGGGCACGGCCCGCATGGCGGCGCCAAGCACATTTCGGCACACCCCTCGCACGTTTCGCGGCCTCATAGGGAGCTCCACCGAAGGTCCCAGCGGCAGGGTCCGCATGGCGGCGCCCCGCCCGTTTCGGCGCACCCCTCACACGTTTCGTGGCCTGTATAGGGAGCTGCCCCTCCTTCGTCTCACCGTCTCACCTGCCCTGCGGCACTCGCACCCGCATCTGATTGAGTCGCTCGCAAAGATACTTATTCCTGCGCTGTTCCTGAACTATATATTATAGTAGTGCTCTGGTTGCTGGGATCAGCACTCCCTTCAAGCCTTCGATTGCGACTTGAGTTCAGAAACCATGAGGCTCATCGATGTCTCGACCCAGGTAGAGTTGTTCCGGTAGACATGGTTGAATCCGCTCCTCTCACGTGACCCGTCTTGGATGCTATTGGTGTAGCCCAGTTGTGATATAAAGCAAAGTCGCCGACGGCAAAGACAGGGCAGGGAGGCGGAGGACGAAGAGGAAGAGGGATAAGGAGGAGGAGGAGGAGAACCAAAAGGAGAAGGAGGAGAGGGAGAGGGAGGACAAGCACGAGGAGAAGGAAGAGGAGGAGGAGAAGAAGGAGAAGGAGAAGGAGGAGGAGCAGGAGCAGCAGGAGCAGGAGGAGGAGGTGGAGGAGGAGAGGCGGAGGAGGCGGAGGAGGAGGAGGCGGACGAGGCGGAGGGAGGAGGAGCAGGAGAGGAGGCGGAGGAGGAGGAAGAGGAGAGATGGGAGAGAAGAGAGAGGCAAGCTAGGCGGGCCCGCGCCATATCCGACATCCGATCCCTCCCTCCTATCCCTTCCCATTGCGCGGATGTTTCTCTATCCGCGGACGCGTGCCGTAGCCGACTTGGAGCTCCAACAAAACAAACATCGTGTTATTCCCCAAACAATGCTTGCACTCAGGAGTTCCTACTTGTCTTAACCATCTCGGGGTGAGTGCCCGCTTTTGCGGGCGGTGCCGCCCGTCGCCGCCGCTCGGGGCAGTCGCCGTCGCCGCCGCTCGGGGCGAGTGGCGGCGTTTGCGGGTGGTGCCGCCCGTCGCCGCCGTCGCCGTCGCATAGATTCTCCTTTCTAAAAAGACTCTACCCCCCCCCAGCGTTATCGGTCCCCCTTTCGGGTATGTAAATCAGATATGATTCTGACCACATGTCCATCCTAAATGTGAAATCACAACGTCCCAGGCCAACCGGTATCCCCCCCTGAGGTTCCCTTGTAAAAAAACACTACGCGGTGACATTTTTGATTCTAGCATAACACTTGTTCACGAATCCCTTGCAAAAAATGGAACGAAGTGCACACGCGCGCGTCGTCGCGCGCGCATACCGAAATCCTTCAAAAACCCTCGGTGCTGGAAGGATTTCGCAATCGAGTTTCCAAAAAACATACAAAAACACAGGGTTTCGCAACAGGGATTTGCTAAAAAATCTTACGCGCGAGCTCTTGCGAAATCTTAAGAAAACCATTGGTTTTTCTAGATTTTCACAACATGCTACCAAACGGGCGTCGCGCGCGCGCATGTCGAAATCTGTCGAACGCCCTTGCGCGTGTACCGTCGCGGGAATCCTCTGCAAAAAATGGGACGAAGTGCAGACGCGCGCGTCGTCGCGCGCGTACGCCGAAATCCTTCAAAACCCTCCGGTTTCGGAAGGATTTCAAAATCGCGCGTCCAAAAAACCTACAAAACACAAGGTTTCGCAACACGGATGTTCAACAAAAGCGTGCGCGCGCGCTCTTGCGGCGTCGTCGTCGTCGTCGCCGTTCTCCTTCCTCCCGCGTCGTCGTCATCGTCGTCGTCGTCGCCTACGTCGTCCTGTGTCTTTCCTCGTGTTCGTCGTCGTCGTCCTCTTTGGCGTCGTGGTCGTTTCCGTCGTCGTTGTCGCCGTGGTCGTCCTTCCTCCTCCTCCCTCGTCGTCGTCGTCGTCCGTCGTCGGCGTCTCGTCGTCGTCCCTCCTATTTCGTCGCCGTCGTCGTCGTCGTTGTCGTCGTCGTCTCGTCGTCGTCTTCCCTCCTCCCTCGTCGTTGTCGTCGTCGGCGTCGCCGTCCTTCCTCATTCTTCGTCGTTCGCGTCGTCGCCGTCCTCCCTCCCCCCTCGTTGTCGTCGTTGTCGTCGTTGTCGTCGTTGTCGCCGTCGTCGTCCTCCCTCCTCCCTCGTCGTCGTCTTCGTTGGCGACGGCGTCGTCGTCTTCGTCGTCGATGGCGTCGGCCTCGTCGTCTTCGTCGTCGACGTCGGCGTCGTCGTCGCCGCCGCCGTCGTCGTCGTCGTCGTCGTCGTCGTCGTCGTCGGCCGTCTTGCTTCTCCGGCCTTCTTGGGGCGCTTTTGAGACGCCCCCGAGGGCTCCAAGACGACCCCGGAGCGATATCTGTGCTCGGTCCCGCATGGGTTTTGCAAACCAAGTTGCGGGTGGGTGTGTGGGATGATTGCGCGAGCAGTGGAGCTGACAATTTCGAATTCGGCAAGTGAGTTGCACCACATAAATTGCACCGCAAAGATTGCACTGCATAGACTACTGCATTGCGTAAGTTGCACCGCGTAGATTGCACCACATAGATTGCACCGCATAGATTGCATTACATAGGTTGCACCGCGTAGATTCCATCACATATGTTGCACCGCATAGATTTCACCATATGTTGCATTACATAGGTTACGCCGCGTAGACTGCACCACGTAGCTTGCACCGCATAGATTGCACCACATAGAGTGCATTACATTAGCTACATGGCATACATTGAACCACATAGATTGCACGGCATACTCTGCACGAACCTATTGTTAGGGGTCCACGCTGGCTAACACGCGCAATCGGAAAAGAGGAACTGCGTACACAGGAGGAGGAGGAGGAGGAGGAGGAGAAGGAAGATAAGGAGAAGGAGGAGGAGGTGGCGGGTGAGCAGGTGGACGAGGAGGAGGATGGTAAAGGAGGAGGACGAGGACGAAAAGCAGCAGCAGCAGCAAGATCTGGAGTGGAAGAAATGCACGGAGCAGGAGGGCCAGGGGAAGGCGGAGGAGGAGGGAAAATGAGGTGAGCGACAACGATGGAAAAGGATTCGTTTCCAGAAAAGTGGCCCACGCTGGAGCGACAGCGCAAGTCTGAACGACGGGAGCAAAGCGCCGGTCCGAAGAGAAGGCCCACGCTGCAGCTGGAGCACCGTCTTGAAACACAGACAACCATCGGATTGAAAATGTTTGGAATCGTGCGTGTGCGAAACAGTACGTGGAGAGGGCCGGAGATTGTCTGGACAGTGTCAGTAGAGAGAGGAGGGTAATCTTCAGAATTTGCGATTGTAGAGAGGAGTTGGAGTTGGAGTTGGAGGAGGAGGAGGAGGAGGAGGAGGAGGAGGAGGAGGAGAAGGAGGAGGAGAAGGAAGAGGAGAGAAGGGAGGAGAGGGAGACAGAGGAACAGGAGGAGGAGGAGGGCGGGGGGAGGAGGAGGAGGAGGAGGAGGAGGAGGGGGAGGAGGAGCAACAGCAGGAGAAGGACGGAGGAGCTCTGCGCGGTGCCACGGCGCAGGCAAGGGGAGCATCATCAAGGACGCGGCCGCCCTGGCGGCCCCCCTCGTGCTGCCAACCACGAACCCAGCCGCGCCGCATGCTGGTCCATGCCCTGCATGTGCCCCTCCCGCCCTCCCTCCTCGTCCTTGTCCTCCTCATCCCCCGCCTCTCTCATCCTCCTCCTGCTCCTGCTTTCTCACCCTCCTCTCCCTCATGTCTCCGCCTTCTCCCTCGTCCTCCTCCTCCTCCGCCTCCTTTTCCCCAGCCTGCGGCGGGGAGGCGCAAGTGACGCCACCGTCATCCTCCTCACTTGATGGTCCACATGTTCGTGGCGCGAGTGGCTCCGCACGGCTTCAGCTACAACCTCCTCGCGACGGTCCCAAAATGCTCGGAGCCCGAGGACCAGTTCGACTCTTGCACGCGGGAAGCGGGTGACTTGCGGTCCCTCTCTTTAAAGAGCACGGACGTCGTGTTGATCGCCAGTTGCTCGCACAGGAGATTGCAGCGGCAAGTTGCGACCCTGACTCACGAAGTCTAGGGGTGGTCACGACAGGCTCCAATGTTGTGGTCCACGCTTTGGCCACGGACGCTGCGTGCCGACAAGCGAACCTGGCATCCCCGGCGCTCGCGCAGTGACCCGTCTTCACTTTTTTCGACTTCAAGACGGCGTCCCTGTCGCTCGTCAGACGATGGATGGATGGCTGCTTGCCGCGCTGCTGGATCCCGCTCGGCTACATCAACATCATCGGCGCGTTGCTCATGAACTGTAATGCGCTGGCGGCGTGCTGTGGGCCAGCTGACTCTTTGCTTCTTATTCGCGCTGCTCGGCAGTGTGATGAAGGGCTGCCCCTTCAGCGGCACGCCCTGATGCGTCATGGGCCCCGTCGTGAGGGCCGTTCGGTCAGCGACAAAGGCTTCCTGTCCGCCTGCGCGAACGACGTGGTCTTGCGGCTGCTGCGGCTGGCGAGGATGGCCCAGGTGGCAGGGGTCTTCTCCATAGTGCGAACCTCGGCGAACCGATCCCTACCGGCCAAGTGTGTCATGCTCCCCCTCTGGGCCGCCTGCGACGTGGCGCAGGCATTGCTCCCGAAGCTGGCCGAGATGCGGCGCGGCTGGGACTTCTTCCAGATCGACGACAAAGCGCAGTTCCTCGGGGCACTCATCGGGCCCATGGTGTCCCTCGGCATGGTTTGGGAGGTGCCGTGCATGCGATTGCGTTGCAGCTGTGCCATGGGTGCCTCAAACTAGCCATCGAGCTTCTCGGTGCGGGGGGGCGCATCAGCTGCATGCCGTCCTGGCGCAGGTCGGCCACGTGTCCCTTGCGCACCGCAGGCGCGAGCAATTGTTGCTGTGCGAGGTCCTGTGCCTCCCGCCCTCGACCGCTCGCAGGACGGGCACTGCTAGCATTGACGAGCTGATTGAAGGCTCCCACCTCGCCTAGGTATTTACTCACACATTCATCCTCGTCCTGGGAGAGAGACAGCTCTCCTGTTCCTCCTCCTTTTCCTCCTCCTCCATCCTCCAAGGGGGGGGGAGGGGGGGCGGTCCTCCTCCTCCTCCTCCTCCTCCTCCTCCTCCTCCTCCTCCTCCTCCTCCTCCTCCTCCTCCTCCTCCCCCCTCCTCCTCCTCCTGGTCCTCCCACTCCTCCTCTCTTGCCCCCCCTTGCCCCACCTCGCCCTCGGCGGCCCGCCCCCACCCCGCTGGAGCCTTCGGCGCCGTGGAGCTCCCCCGGCGTCGTGCCGCGTGGGCCCCCGGAGGCCGCCCGGACCTCCGCTGGCGCGCGGCCGCTGGACCGTGCGCGGCGCTTCGGCCGCACGTTCTGCCCCTCCGCCAGCGCACGGCCGCGGCAGCTGCTTCGGCCGGGACGTCGTCCTTGCAGGGGGGCTCACCGCAGGGCCGAGGGGCATCTCCGCGCGAAGAGGGGAGGGGGGAAGGAGGAGGGGAAGCGCGAAGAAGGAGGAAGGAGGAGGAGACGGAGGGAAGAAGGGGAGCGAGCAAGGAAGGGAGGAGCAGGAGGAAGAGGAGAAGCAAGGTGGAAGCGGGAGGAGGGAGAAAGCGAGTGCGAGGAGAGACGGACGAGGGAGGGCTCCAGATGGTCAAGGGGGGGATGTACAGGCCCATGGCCATGTTAGAGGGCGGATTCGGGGGGCTCTTGTGGAGCACAGGGACTCCCATTTTGCGAAGCCCCAAGCCTCTGGCGACGGCTCTTCCGAAAACTGCCTTGTGCTATTTTGCAGTTTTCCTGGGTGATTCGATGTTGATGGTCTTGCTTCCTCCTCCTCCTCCTCCTCCTCCTCCTCCTCCTCCTCCTCCTCCTCCTCCTCCTCCCCCCACCTCCTCCTCCTCCTCCTCCTCCTCCTTCTCCTCCTCCCCATCCCCCTCCCCCTCCCCTCCCCTCCCTCCCTTCCTCCCTCCAAGAGAAGAGGGTGGAGAGGCAGAAGAAGAAGGAAAAGAAGGAGGAGGAACCGAAGGAGGAGGGAAGGAGGAGGAGAAGGAGGAGAAGGAGGAGGAGGAGGAGGAGGAGGAGGGAGAGGAGAAAGGGGAGAAAGAGACCGCACCGAGGCCAACGCGGAGCACCCCGGGCACATAGGACTGGACGCGCACGCATGGCACGCGGGCCACGCAGCCTGGAACGTGTAAGCGGGTAGATTGGCCAAAGCGAGCAGGGCATCCTTCGGACACGAGCGCCGCAAGGCATACACATACGTTTATTTTTGTATGTATATATATATATATCGAGAGAGAGAGAGAGAGAGAGATTTTCCAAACAGTTCTTGCACCTGGGGGCTCTAGTTTCTGTTATACGGAACTGGGCTGGTGTGGCAATCTGGCGGCTATGTTGTCGCCGTCGCAGCCCCGTCGCCGCCTCGTCGCCGCCCGTCGACTGGGCTGGTGTGGCGGTCTGGCAGCTATTTTGTCGCCGTAGCTCCCCGTCGCCCGCCGCCGCCCTAGATAGTTGTTTCAGGAGTTCGGATATTTATCCGCTGGCCTCGCGTATTGCCACTTTAAACTAGTTCTAGCAGACCGTTCATTACTCATACGAACTCATACCATGCCAGGCGGTTTTGTACCCGCCCCCCCCCCCCCACACACACTCCCCTTCACCCTCGTCAAATCATACAATGCGCGCGTTCGTTTATGAGAAATCATTATTTTTTTGAAGAATCCGTACCCATAATAAAATGAAGCCCACACGCGCGCGTCGTCGCCCGCGCATGCCGATTTTTTTGGGGGAGGTAGTGTATGGATTTCAAAATCGAGTGACCCGAAAACATACAAGCATACAATGGTTTTGCAGCATGAGCTCTCAAAAAAAGTGTGCGCGCACGCTTTTTCGACTTCTTAAGGAGGGTACCGGTTTTTTCCACATTTTCACCAAATGCAATAAAAAGGCCTCCCGCGCGCGCATATCGAAGTCATTCGAAAGCCCTTGCGCGAGCACTGAGGGGGCACAATCCCTGTCAAATAATACCATGCGGGCCACTCGCGCGCGTCGGCCGTGCGCGCATGTCGAAATCCTCCCAAAACCTTCATCGCCGACGCGAGGACACCATCATCGTTATCGGCGTAATCAGCATCGGCGCCGTCATCGGCCTTGCCGTCGTCATTGTCACCATCGTCACTAGCATCGTGTCTGCAGTTGTCGACGTCTCCATGGTACCGCGCCCGCCCGAGTCGACTCGCGTTGAAGTGGCCACGCGTCGGCGCGGCCTGCGAGACGCGGTGCTGGGGCCCCACCGGCCAGCGCCACCGCGGCAGCGTCGGTCGCGCCAGACTAGCAGGCCGCTCTGCGAGCGAGCTTGCGCGCGCTAGCACAGCCGCAGCGATGCGCCACCCAGCGCCAACCAGTCATCGCAATCGCCGCTGCATGGGTTTCGCAAACCAAGTTGCGGGTGGGTGGGTGGTGGGGGTGGTGTGTGCGTGGTTGCGCAAGTTGCGGGTGGGTAGGTGTGTGGTGTGTGGGTCGTGCGGGGCGCAGGGTAATCAATTGCACAACATCGGCCCTCATTTGTGAAAAATGCAACCAGGATCTACCCTCACACACCCCTGGAGTGAGCGTGTCACATTTTTTTTCTCGTAGCGTCGTTCTCATATGATTCTGCAGACACGTCAATCCGAAGAATGATTTCGTACCATCCCAGGCAGTCTGGTTACCGACCCCCCTCCTCCGTCAAATAAACGTATGCGCGCGCATTCGCTCATCAAAATTCATCAGTTCACCAAAACGATTTGCAAAACATGGGACGAAACGAACACGCGCGCATCGTCGCGCACGCATGCCGCAATCCTTACAAAAGCCGCTGATTCCTTAAAGATTTGCACATCGAATACCCCGAAAACAGGTTTAAAGAGTTTATGGTTTGGCAGCATGAGCTTTCAAACAAAAGAACGACAAAAAAATAGGCGCGCTCGTTCGAGTTATTAAGACAGCCATCAGTTGTTTGCACACTTTCCCGCAGGGCCCTCGCCGTATGCAAGTGGCGGTGACACCGACCCAGACCGATGGCAGGCGGGCGTGCTCTTGCCATCGTGGGTCGTGTGGCGGCTACGCCATACGACCGCGAGCTGCGTTTACGGTGGCAGCGGCCTGTGCAAACCCAAGGCCTGTGTAGGGTACGCGCGCGGCCCCGACGCCACGACTTGGAAAATTGGCATCGCCTGTCAGCCGCGCCCGCGTCACGTTCCCGATGCAGCGCGGGGAAATTATGGGTGTAGATTGACGAGCGGAAGCAGCAAGAATCCCACTGGAAACAGTAACTTGGGTATCCCTTTTTGAACCACATTTGCTGGGCACCAGCACAGCATCAGTCCCGTTTGGCCCGTGCTGCTCGTGGCAAGGACGGGCGGCCGAGGGCGCGAGGGCTGTGGTTTCAGTGCCGCCGTCGCTGGAGTTTCTAGGAGTTCCTGCGGGTGGAGGAGCCACCGATTATCGCAGTTTGGACACCAAGCTGAGTGCTGAGTAGTACGGATTTGGGCCACGCTTGAACAGGGCATTGGCACATACATGATTTTAGTTGACAGGAAAGTCGGACTTTTCATGGCCAGGACGGAGTGCCGAAGGCGCGGGGTTATGGCCTCTGTGCCGCCGTCGCTGGAGTTGCTTGTGACTCTTGCGGGCCGAGGTGCCGCAAAGCGTCGCAGTCGGAACACCAAGTTGCGTACGGGTATAGGCTTGTGCTGGGCACTCGCGCAGACATGACCCTGTCTTGAACAAGGAGGCCGTGGTGCTCGCAGCCAGGACCGACGGCCGAGGCCGCGAGGGCTGCGGTCCGGGTGCCGCCGTCGCAGGAGACGGTGCAAACTCCCGCGGGACAGGGCGCCACGGAGTTTGGCCCGCGGGACCGCGTGCCGCGCCCGGGGTGCGGCGGCGGCGGCGCCCGCAGCGCATCCGCCAGCGGCAGCCCATGCGCCGCGCCTGGGCAAGCAGCCGCCGCGCCCTGGCCCCTCCCATGGCTCACGAGACCGAGTGCACGGGTGCTCGAGCCAACGCCGGCGGGGGAGAAGATAAGCGAGGAGGAGGAGGAAAAGAAGTAGGAATAGGAGCAGGAGTAGGAGTAGGAGTAGGAGTAGGAGCAGTAGTCGGAGTAGCGGTACGCGTCTCATTACGATTATGATTATGATTATTATTTGTAATAGTATTATTATTAGTACAAATATTATAAGTATTTATATTAGTATTGTTATTATTATGAGTAGTAGTAGTAGTAGTAGTAGTAGTAGTAGTAGTAGTAGTAGTAGTAGTAGTAGTAGTAGTAGTCGTAGTAGTAGTAGTAGTCGTAATAATAGTGGTAGTAGTAGGAGTAATAATAAATCCTAGTAGTAGTAGTAGTAGTAGTAGTAGTTATATCAGTTAGTAGTAGTAGTAGTAGTAGTAGTGTAGTAGTAGTAGTAGTAAGTAGTAGTAGTAGTAGTAGTAGTAGTAGTAGTAGTAGTAGCTAGTAGTAGTAGTAGTACGTAGATAGTAGTAGTCGTTATAGTAGTTATAGTAGTTAGTAGTAGTAGTAGATAGTAGTAGTAGTAGTCAGTAGTGTAGTAGAGTAGGTAGTCGTAGTAGTAATAGGACTAGTATAGTAGTAGTAGTAGTAGTAGTAGCAGGAGTATTAGTATATAGTAGCTAGCAGCAGTAGTAGTAGTAGTAGAGTAGTGGGAGAGTAGGAGTAGTAGGAAGGACTAGTAGGACGAGGAGGGGGGTAGTAGTCAGTAGTAGTAGTAGTAGTAGTTCGTTAGGTCGTCGTGAGCAAGTAGTATGTAGTATCAGCAGTGGTAGTCAAGTAGCAGTAGTAGTAGTAGTAGTACGAGCAGTTAGCAATAGTAGTAGTAGTAGTAGTTATTTTTAATACTTGTAGTGTTCAGTTT